AAAAAAAAAAAAGATACTGGGCAAACCAGAAGGATACTGGAAAAATGTAAGGCTTTAACAGTGTAAGTACTTAGCTGCAGATCACACTGAGTGACAAACAAATAGGGATATAAACTTCTACATTACAGGAGAAACAGGAAAAAATATGCAGAAATTGAGATTTGGCAGACATTGCACAAAATTAAAGATTTATCAGAAAAAAGGTCCAAGTTAAAGTCCTGCTTTCAGAATGAAACATTTCAGCTGAAATGATGCAGCAATAACACTGTCACAAATTCATGGGATGCAACAAAGTATAATAATTAGGATATTAAAAAGGGGAAATTGCAGAAATAAAAATTGAGAGAATGAGGAGAACATTGAAGGAAATTAAAATAAGTCTCATTAAGGGGATAATGATGTGCCATTAAACAATATTCTACAGAATAGTCAGTACAATAGCAAGGCACACTAGAAAACAAAGGTCACCAGAAAAAAAGCTTAGCTAAGAAAGCAAATCAGTGAGTTTCCATTGTCACAGGCAAAATCTGCTTTAAGCTGATTTTTTTTTCAATTTAATAGAATGGACTCTATTAGTAACATTAGTTACATTTGCTTCACAGAGAAATAAAGCCACAGCTATCTTCCCCTTTCCCACCTTTTATGGAGGTTGGGAAAAGGAAGCAGAATTTGAAAAAGGAAACAAGAAGCTGTCTTAACAGCTTTAAGAAGGGAGATGAAAGATCCCTGAAGCCAAGCACCAGATTGCGGGTTTAACTGGATCAAGCAGAGGCCCTTCTAAGAGAGAAAACTATGTTTGGAGGGACCATAACAGGTATACAGAAAGCAGGAAGTTGAAAAAGACTCTGTTAATCAACTGTGTTCACACAAGAACCACAACACTTTTCCAAAATCCTGATGAGTGAATTTACTAGATCTCAGGCTGTCACTGACATCTTCCAACTTTAATCCTCACCAGCCTGACTTCTTATGTGATTTGTTTTCACAACCTTTTCTTATTTTATTTAAAATAAGATAGGCAGTATGTAATTTTTTAAGATGACATAATTTTATTCTTACTAGTGTAAAGATAAATAGTAAAGATAAATAAATTAATCGGGGGAAGTCTGAGAACAAAAATTCAATTTAAGTTTACTGCATCAAGACCATTTAATTTGCTTTTGTCTGGGTGTTTGGTTTTTTTATGACAGAGGAAAACTCCACCATATATAAAATACATTTTTTATTAGCTAATAAAAGTTAGTATTTAATGAAAACCACCACCTCATGAACCAATATTCTGGACACAGAAGTTATGCCTCTGTCTCTGCAGATTTTTCATACTGAAAAACACTTGCCTCATCATCTGAGTAACTATATGCTGAAGTTACAACTCCCCACATCTTACTGGCCACATTGGCAGCCTGCTTCATGCCTGATTTCAGAACATCCATTTTTGGTCCAGACAGTATACTGTCTAACTTCAGATTGGATAAAGTTGTTACAACAGATCCCAATGAGCCATGCGGAGAAGAACGACCCAATCCTGTCAAAGACGAAGAGCGCTCCTTTTGAACTCGTGGATGAGTTTGTTGCTTTGGTCGGCCAGTGAATGTTTTGGATCTGGAGACAGAAGGACTTCTCCGATTTTCATAAGACTTGGGGGACGGCAGGATGGGATCCAAAGGCAGGCTTGACCTCCTTTCTTGGGAGTGACCAAGTGCACCAGAGGCTTCTGCTTCTCCATCTGGCTTGTGCAGTTCCATGCTGGGAAACTTACTACTCAATGGATTCTTCAGATTCATATAGCTTTCTATTTCATCTGCCAAATTACGTGCTGCAACTGGTGACATCAACTTCTCCTCAGGTTCCAGATGCCTTGGTTGCACACTGTCAGTAGCCAGCAAAGACAAAGGGTCCAAGCCTACTTCAACATCTTCCCTTTCAACAGGCTTAACCACTCCATAAAAGCTATTCCTTTTAGTAGTTGCATCTTTGGATTCTAGTTTCTGGTTTTCAGACTTTGCTGACTGTTCAAGGTTTGTGTCTTCCACTGTGGTCATGTTTTCATCTCTTTCATTCTCAAGATGCTCTTGTCTTTCCCCAGGTTCTTCCAGCACTGGTGAAGACCTATGCTCCAATTCCCAATCACTCTCAGTCACACAACTCCAAGTGCTACTTACGCCAGAAACCTGCTGGTCAACGATACTTTCCAAGCTGTGGGATTTATTCATATGGCAGGGTGAAGTTTTGGCCCCCGATAAAGCTGCTGTTAGGATCTTGGCATCTGCTCCCATCATTATTGCTATTTCTTTAGAATGCAAGTCCAAACTGCCTTTTTTCAGCAGCATTCCAGCTCTGCTTTCACTGCTGAAACTGCAGCTTCTCTCTGAAAAGAGTTTCTGCCTCTTCTGTCCTTTTTCACTTGTTTTTTTAGGAGAAACATCACCAAACACTATATCTTCAACTGAATCCTGAGTTATGAACAGTGGACTAGAACCAGTGTCTAAAAGAGAAAATGTATTAATATGGTATCCACAGCTGCCAAAAACATTTATTTCCTGAAATCTCCTTATCTCCTTACCAGTGAAAAGACTAGGACCACCACAATCTCAGGCTATCCATTAAGGAGTTACAATAGTATTTATAAGTTATTTTACTGGCTGCAAAAGTATCCTGCAGACCAGAAGTCATCTACTCTTTGACTCCTTGAAGTCAAAGCCTTCTACAGCTTCTACCTCCTTTTCCTGTACCAACATCCAGCAGAGTATAGGCACTGCATCCAGAAACTAAAGGAAAGTACAATTATAAATCAAGACTGTTCTTCTTTTTTTTTTTCTTTTTCTTTTCCCGGAGCTATATTCATAGATCTACACATCAAACTCCATAGTTCATTCTGGTTCCGACATCTATTGTGTGTGTCTGCACAACACAAAACCATTACTTTGTTTATAACACAGCCATACTTAGAAAAAGATAATTAAATTTAGCATGTGGAAGAAATGAACTGATCTTATAAATAATCTCATTTCCTCAGGAGAAGTGGGAATATTTATTACCTAGAAAGCTGTGTCAGCGTGTTGGGTTTGTGTCTGGTGATCATGTTTTGGCAGTGGAGGGTGGGCAAGCCTGTTGGGAAACCTGTTGGGAAAGTTCCTTTGTGTTGGGGAGTTCTTTGTTTTGGAGACAAATGGGAGGTGAGACACACAACCACTCAGGCACCAAGGTCAGTGAGGAAGGACAGGGAGAAGGGCACCAGAGCAGAGATTTCGCTGAAACCTGTGGTGAGATGGCAGGATGAGGCCCTGTAGACCAAGATTCATGGTGGCAAATGGCATAGGATGTAGCAGCCCCCATGCTGAAGCAGAGGACTGTGCCCGAGACATGATGTCACTCCAAAGGAAGCCCACACTGGAGCCATCCATCACTGGGAGGACTGCAGTCCACGGGAGGGACCCACACAGGGGCGGTTTGGAAAGAACTGCAAACATGGGGGAAGGAGTCATGCTGGAGACATTCTAGGGAGCCTGTCTCCAGTGGAAGACTGTGAGGAGTCCTCTCCCTGAGGAGGAAGCAGCAGCATGGACAATACGTAATCGACAGACCGCAACACCCATCCCCTGCCCTGCTATGCTGCTGGTGGCGAGGAGGTAGCTGGGAAGTAGGGAGAGGTGGGGGGAAAGGGAGTTTTAAAGTTGTAGTTGTATATATTCTTTCACTGTCCTACTCTGATCTAATTGTCCTAACTGATGGTTGTTTTGTTGTCTAAAAGACATTTATTTTTTCTCCCCAGGTCTACTTTGTTTTTCGCCAGTGATCACGAGTTGTAAGTGAGCTCTCCCTGTCTGTAATCTTGATGCTCAAGCCTTTTGTTGAATTTTCTCCTCCTCATCCCAGAAAGCAGGGCGTTAGGAGTGAGTGAGTAGCTGCGTGGTTCTTTGCTGCCAGCTGTGTGGGTTCACACCATGACAGTTAGCTAGGCAAAAACCATCCTATTATATCAGGATTCTAAAAGAGGGTAAAAGAGGATCCAATGTACCCTATCCACTGCTGGAGGATGTCTAAGTCTCACACTGATGCCAATTCTGGACTAGTCATCAGCTCTCATAATTGCCAGAAAGGTTCTCGGCAACTTCTTGCATGAGTTCTTTGCTCTCAAGCTACATTCAAGCTGGACTACATTGCCTTAGTTAAGGACAGGCAAAGGCAGGAGAAAGTAAGCCCCGAGATTTGGCTTTTATATATCTGTAAGTCTTCCTCATCATAAAGCTCCAGATATGTAAATAAATTTCATATGTCACAAAACCAGCATGCATTCTTCCCAAGTTATACATTAGCTATATAAGCCACAGGAACAAAGACACTTATCCCAGGACAGTGAGGCTTAGGTGACAAAATCAAGAACAGAGACCCTAATTCTCTTGTTTTTCTAATACATTACTGATATACTCTCAGTGCGGGACATGGAAAATCTTGATGTCAATCTACTCAAGAGTGATTTCCAACCCTTGAATCCACAGGTTCCTTCTAAGTTACCTGCAAAGGATAGTGGTGGAAAGCAAATGTTGTGCAAATGTTCTGCACCTTGAATAAAAGTTTTGTTTCTTTTCGTAGCATGAAAAAGATTGCAAAACACTAAAGCACAAAATCAGGACTTGAGCAAGTTGTTTCACTCGTGACTCACCACCACTGCTTTTCCTTCCACCGCTATCAAAAATTCCAGATGGAACTTTCACAATACTGTTACCCCAAGAAGGTGGCTCTGTTGGACTATGAGTTTCTATATTCAGTTGTTGCTTTTCATCAGATTTCTCAGTACAAACCTCTACAAGAAAGAGAATGTGAACTTTAGTTAATTTAACTAAATAATTTCATTTGTGCTATTACGGAAAATAGACACTCAAACACTGTTCCCTTATGTAATCACAATCTAAAGGATCAGTCCTATTAGGTATTGAGCATTTCCTGGAAATAATATCTGGAGACATGAAAGTAAACACTATTAGGTAGAAAGTGCTTAGCTGTTCATAAGCTTAGAGAATGTGCCAATTCTCCCCTTACTATTTTTTCCACTAACCAAAGGAACAGCAGTTCTAAGATTTTCAGGCAGGGCTATATGTCTAAGGACAGCTTTAGAAGCCTTATTAAGGACCTAGTAACACAGACATGAAACAGGTTCAGTAATGAGAAAGACAAAATACAGAAAAACTAATGGCAAAATCTGGACAGAAGCCAGGAAATGAATATTTTCTACATCTGGGAAGAGTTTCTAGGAAAAAGTACTGCCTTTTATTAGCCCATCTGGTAAAGCTGAAAAAATGGTCAAACATACAAGTGAAAGGAACTGTGTGTACCAGCACTTGTTCAATTTTTCCATCTCTATTAAATTAGTCTAATAAAAGCCTACTTTCACCTATCTGTACTCCACTGTTATTGTCTAGGGTATAGAAGTAGTCCACCAGACTTCATATAGTCATCTTTCAACCTTGGTAACATCATGAATTCAATATAATAAGTATTTGTGGTAGTCTAATCCATGAATCATATTTATTACGAAAAGCCTCAATCAATGTAAACATGCATACTTAACCTCTTATTCGGTCTTCAGTTTTAGAAGAAATAGCTTTCTCTACTTGTGTTTCAGTTGCATGAAGACTATCCCCATCACCTCTTAAAAGTTCATCCTTTGACCCATAGCCCTGATCTGACTGACCACCTGTTTGAAGGAATAGAAACACATGCCTCAGATTTGTTTTTCTTTCCTAAATTGTCTTTTTCAGTAAGAAAATAAAAGAACTGCAATATTTTTCACATTTTGTTTTGTGAGGCAAGTTCGTAGTAAGAACACCAAACAACATGACTAATCTGTGCACAGACCTACTTGATGATGGTTACAGCAGAGATAATTAGGCTACACCAAATTTAATTTTGAATTATATTAAATACTAGTTATTCCCCCAGGAACAATACAGTTACTAACTACTTTTAACACACTGCGTCTCTCATATTCCTTTCCTTTCTTGTTAGCATGAAATCACTTCACTGCTGGGCAAGCTAAAGACTCAAATGCATCTACAAAAATGCAACAGTAATTGAACAAGTTTCTAACAATAAATATATCCCTGAAACAAATGTCTATCTACCTATGTATAGCTTACAGTAGTCAAAAAAGGAAACAATCCAGGAAGATACCCTTTTTTTTTTTTCACCTGAAGTGCTACTGCATATGCAAAAATACAAAATACTGCATTAGACGTATCCCACATGTTAAATAGGACTATTTTATGTGACAGTATTTAAAATAATCCAAGTGTAAGTTACTGAGTGTGAAAGGTAATAGGAAGCTCCACAAAACCTGAGTCACAGACACATTTTATCTACAATACATATTACTGCTGTTTATTTTACCAAAGAGCAAACACGTTAAAAAGAATTAAAATTAAAACCTTGAGCAGCCACAAATTATTACATTTGGCTACTATATTTAAAACCTTTTATACAGAAAATTAAGTTCTGGCGGTTTTCAGTCGTTACTTTATCACCATTTCAATAATGTTAGCATCCCTGCTTGGCACAGAAGTGAAAACACCCTACCAATAAATGGCTGAATTACCTGCAGAAGTAACATTCAAGGGTAGAAATAATGTACACGTGCATCCAAGGCTTCACACCATGTAAGTCTGCACCCCACACCGTGATAGCCAAGGACAAATGCGGCACCCAAGAGACAGCAAAGAGCAAAAAGCAGAGCAACAAAGAGCAGAGAGAAGGGAAGTTCAGTAATCCAGGCAGGCATATCAGATGAAGCACAGGAATCAGACTCAAAAGTTCTCTTTACAGAAAGGCTCAAGATATTAAAAACACAAAGAGTGTGCAAGAATCATTTGTACATTAAGTTTTGAAGTACACACAGAAAGGAAGTTTAGTTGAGACTGTGCACAGGTAGGATGTAATCAGTACTAAAGCAGGTACAAAGAACCATGAATTTTGTCTTGACATTTCAAGCCATTAACTTTCTGAGCAATCTTTTTACTCCAGTTTGTCTGGAAGAGTGCACGCTACATCTAAGGCAGAGTTTTTCCTCAGCTTAACACTTGGTTTTCCATTCCCGGGGTGTCCATTATGCCAAGGTTCTGATAATTTCTTTATCTGTTTCCAAGTTTAGCAATTATTAATTGGCCACTATTAATTTAGCAACTATTAATATGGCCTTGAAAAGCGTAGCTTACTATAACCTAACCTAACATGTTCATTCCAGGAATGCTAATAATTGGGCTTTTCTGGATTACCATCAAGGAGTATCATTTCAAAGTGTTAGCTTCTAATCACTTCAGCAACTTCCATTCTTTTAATGCAAAGAAAGGTTTTACACAGACTATCACTTCTATGAATAAATTACAATATGTACAAATTGAACAGACTCATAATTCATACCTTTTTCTGAACAGTAGTACAAAAAGCAAGGTTCATGAGATTATGGCAAGGCATTTATTTTAACACGACAGTATTTCATCTATGGTTCACTCTAAACTAAAGAAGCAGCATGATCTTTCATAAAGGAATAACACTCAACAACAGTGCATTTCTTTTTCTTTACATAGTTTCACTCCACGCTTCTTTCTCTACAGCCTCAAAAGAGGAAGGTAGAGGGGAAATCAACAAGAGGCTAGAAAATACAGCTTTTCAGGGGACTGTTAGTAGTGAAACCCAGCAGAATCTAGTACCTGTGCTAGAGTGATTATCAATGGAATCAAGCCTGACTAAGTCACTGACGAAGAGTGTGCGCTCCCCACTGTTAGCATCATTAGAACTATCCACGCTACCGTGGCTCACCATGTCCCCATCACTTCCACCCGTGGTACTCCGCAGAGCTAAAGACATGAATGAGAGCTGGTTAGTAAGAGAGGATTTAACAAATCTAACCTCTTCAGGCAACAGTAAACAATTTTGCTTGCACATAAAATATAAGAACATGAAATTCTAGCAACGGAATCCAGACAATTAATTCTTCAGCATGCGAGAGATGTTCTAAGACTGTTTCAAGCATCAAGTTGGCAATTACCAATTTTTATACACAGTGAAATGTTTTACACTTGTAAAAGCCAGAATTTTAGCTGCAATCCCTCAAAAAGCACGTCATGCTCCTGTTCAGCAGAAATATATCCATTTCAACTAACTTATTACCTGATGTCACAGGTACCCGTGGGCTCTGTGTTGACTTCTTTAAGCACTGCCTAAATTGTGCTGTGCCACGAACCACATTTCGTACCTTTGTCCACAGGAATATGCCACTGCGGTTACTGCTAGGCCAAGGAGACTCTAAAACCGCCTACAGAAAGAGACATTGTAATAGAAAAACAGTAAGAAAGTTACACTAAGGACACAGTACAGTGAAAAGCTTTTCTTTCCACACTCGAAAAAGGCATTTCCTGTCAACCATGTGAAGAAGGACAAATGTTTTGAGTTTTCATAAGCTGTTCCCTTTTATGAGCTCTGTCCCCTTTCATCCCACAGCTCTGGATACAACAGCTGTGTAACAATGAATGATGGATAGAGATTTCTTTAGGTAAATAAGGTTGGGTTTGTTCTTATTTACATGCTCCATAGCAAAGACTACAGTAGCAGCTCCTTTCCTGCTACTTTACTATGAAGATTCATGACCATATTACAGGAACTTGGGCATAAAGGAAAACCAGCGAGGCTACTCAAACTAGCCCAGTTCCAGCCTTCATCCATCCTGGATACTGCTACCTTAAAGGATATATGGAGTAACAGATGGTTTTGACACAGAAGCACTAGTCAGATTCCATAACTTGGAAATGCAAACACTATAAACATATATTTCAACAGAATTTTTTGTTAGGCAAACAGCACGGGTATGTCAACTGAACAGAGTAAAACCACACAGTGTAGAACCAGTGAATTGTAATTGTGAGGATGTCCAGAATGACTGCTTGCCCAACAGAAGCAGCAAATCCAAGTACAGAGCTGTAAAAAACGATCTTCAAAACATGTTACAGGGCAAGGGGAGTGACAAAAGCACTAGAGACACTGGTTCAGTATCCCCTGTCAAGACTTCTTTTACCTTATTGTAATAACCATAGGTGATGGCATTTGGTTGTATTCCAGCATTTTTCATTTCAAAGAGGACTCTCACAGCCTGAACAGGCTGACCCCACAGTCCACAGAGCTGCATCACAACTCTGTAGCAGACCTGATAGGATACAGAAATGCATAAATGGACTGATGACAAGGGTTTTGAAATAACATAAGCTCTTTCCTGATTTCCAACACGTGTAAAAGGGAGTCATGCATAAACAGCTACTCAGTACATAACACTCAACAGCCAGAAGAGGGAGCAAAACTTAAACGGGGAATCACAGGAGCTGAAATAACATCAGCAGTCACACTCTTGAGAATGCCGATTCTTTTTCCACTAGTCTCTTCTGTTTGCGAAATAAAGGAGGGAAGGAAATACCCAAGCAAAAGGCAGGGTAACTTGCTGCTGTGTGCCTGTGAACACTACTGAAAGAATGGTAGGCTGCACACAAACCCCTTATCCTTTTGTTCAGTAAGGTTGCATAGCATTAATTTGAAGCGCATTGAAAAAATAGGGATATTCAAGAATTTCCTTTTGAAGAAGTCTAGGAGAAAACTCACAACACTCAGTTGGAGTACTTGACCCAGCAGACACTATGCTGATGATGAAAATGTAAATGAATTTCCAGTTGCTCTACTTAAGCAGACTTCTCTGAGGTCATTTCCAGGCGGCTTTAAAACAGGTCAAAGTGTAAGCACATTTAACACGGTGGTAGCAGTGAGGCATGCTATATTTGCACATCGTCTTCTATTCCATATTTATAGTAACATTTTTTATTCACACTTGCCTCATCTAGTGGTTCCACATCAGTTTTCCTCATTTTAATTAGAATATCGTAAGCCTGCTGCAGTGCTTTGACCTTGGGATGTGCAACTCTGATGTAAGCTGGCAGACAAATAAACCATAGGCTGTAACAATGACTGAAGAGACACTTAGCCCACTGTGGGGGGCTTACGTAGTATTTCTTGGCTAATTTATGGGCTGTTTTTATCTCCTGTAAGGGTGAAACAAAACAAAAAAGCAGAGAAATATGTAGCATCCTGAATCTAGAAACCATTATTAACTCAGACACGGGCTTTTTCAAAGTAAGCATTTAGACAAACATTCAACTGAAGCTCCCTCCTTACCACTCTTATTAAGGCTCCCTGCAAGCGAAAACTAGTCCAAGAATTAATCTTTCTAAAGCTTAAAAATGGGTTTGACAACAGACTCTAAGCTCAGGTGCTAATTTATTTGTTGCCTCTTGTTTCTTTCTTTTGCAAGTGTTGATTCTCAATAGTCACAAATATCTAACCTCCAACAACATTAACTTCTAGTATAAACGGGTAGTGACAATTTAACCAAAAATTTTCATATCTTTCAGTGTTTACACAGTGATTACAGTACAACAGCTGACCTGTTTTGTCCTCTTTGCCATGAGCGCTGGACTATTCGAAATGGTGCTTCCAGCTGGATGTCTGCTGAAGGACAGCTTGAGTTCTTGTGGCCTGTCAAAGAGCTTGGAATCTAGTCGTGGAAAGTTTTTATAGCTATATAGATGATTAAAAACAAAAACAAAAACCAAAATATCAAGTTTTTCCATACCTGCCGATAGCAGGAAAGCCATACAAAGATGACTTACATGCAAAGAACTGACAAATAGGAGAATAAAGAACCAGGGGGGAAAAAAGGAGGGGGAAAAAAAAAGAAAGAAGATAGCAAGATCCTTTTAGTCTTATTCACAAAGATATCACAAGACGATGCCTTGGACACTAAGTCTCCATAGACAATGGAACAAGAACCAGACTGGTATCCGTATCATGAAGGTCAGGGAAGCACAAATGATGATCACCAAGGACAACTGTTAGAAGCAGAACCTTCATGATCTCCAAGAGAAACAGAAAGAAAAAAAATCATACCCAGAGTGTTTGAAACTCCGGACTTCCTGCACAGGGCTGAAAAATACTGAATGAAAGAAGCCTGAAAAGTGGAGGGGGTGTTCTATTCTTTTGGTTCATCAGCTGCAGATCATAGTACTGGACAGTTCCATTACCCACCCTCTGTCATTCCCACTGTGAAACAAAGCACGCTGCAGTTGCTATAAAATACACATAAATGGTTCAAACAGGAAGAAAGACACTGAACACATACAGAAAAGTATTACTATAAAGTTGTCAAGAAGTTATGAAAAATTAAAAACAAATCCCCATGCCCCATACACACAAGCTAAACATTGACTTCTACAGTTTCAGAAACTTACTGGAATCTGGGCAGTTTATATCTTTCTTAAGATTCTTCTGAGAATTATATTATGGAAAGTCTTGCATCAATACAGAACATCGGCCCTGCTTAATATTATAAGCATTTTAGTTTCACTGCATGTGCCTGCTTAACTTGTACCTGTACTTTGGCACTCGATCCTGTCCGTCATCAGCAGGAGGTTCTGGTGGCATTATAAACACAGTGTGTTCACTTTTTTGTGACTCATCAAGCTCAATCAACCTTGCATCTTCAACAGAATCTACGTCGACCTGAAAACAGAGTTGGTATTCTAAGTACAGAGCTTGGCTTTGGGATAGAATGTGCTTTTAAAGATTAATTATGTTAGTATATGTAAAAATATATTTAATATATACTGTATTTGACTACATATATAATATATAAAATAATTTATATTTGTTCTAATTACAAAAATATCAAGTCCACAGCCTTGTCTTTGCATTTTCATTTCACAATCAGATATTCCTAAACATTCTGAAAGACAAAGTACCTTCTCTCCTTTTTCTGTTCCTTTGTCTGGAAAGAGCTGCAAAAAGAGAAAAAAAAAATAGTGTTTCTTCTCCTCTAAAAAAAAATCTAAAATAATTATATTACACCTGTGTCAATTCACTGAAACCTTAAAGAAAAACCACTCAATTTTCAAATTACAGTAGAAGCAATTAATCTTTTTCAAATCCTTTCTTTCCTGAAAGTAAGGAAATGCAGTAACTAGTATGCTTTCAACCTGTTGACATTATCTACTAAATTCAAACCCGTAAATCTCTTAAAGGAAAGTGCTTTTGTTTAGTTTAATTTAAAGAAACTGCTCCTTTGCAGATATTTTCAATGTGAAAATTTAAGCATGCAACACATTAACAACCTGCAATAATACCAAATTATTAACAATATTAAACAAAGCACACTCTAGATGTCTATCTCATACTCAGCAGAAAGAAAAATAAAGGCAAGGAAATTTTTAAACACTTATTTTGTGGTCTGTTTACAAGTGTTAATTTGATTGGAATCAGTACTGAATAAAAGACCCTTTTTATAAGAACTTAGAATGAAAATGAAGGTTCTGTCCAGAAAGGATCATACACATAAACCTTAAAAAATACGTATAATCTTCTAGCTCCTAATTTTTATATCATAAACTTGGCATTTGCAGATGAGGCTGCAAAATCCATAACTCATCTAAACCAGAGTCACGCTGATGAGACTTTGTTTCAAAATGAAAAAATGAGTGGCAGCAACCTTTATCATATAAAATACAGGCGACAGAAGGGGATCTTTCCTACATAAATCAGTTCAGACTACAAATGGTACGCTAGACACGTTTCTATGTTTTAAGTTTAAATTGTGCGAAAAAGGGCAACAGTGCAGAACATCGCAGTGCACTTAATTCTGCATTAGAGGGAGGGTGATTAACATTTAAAGGAAAGACATGGACAGCACTGTGTTAAAGTATCAGCTACTGGTATTTCTCACACTATCTAACAGCCTGACATCCTACAGGGCTTTAATGAAAGTTTCCTGCATCAATACAGATGACGATCATGCAGGAAGACTAAGAATGACTCAGCAATACCAACCAAGAAGCCCAATCCCTCAACACATTTGCTGCAGAAGGTATCTACGTTTACTTCTGAAAAACAGGACAATAACACAAAATTAATTTAATTTAATTTAATAGTATTGCTGTATGTTTTTCACCTTTTCTATGCAGTCATCAAAAAATGCCAAGCCAGTATCCTTGTCACTCACAAAACTGCACTCTTCAATAAAGCGGCTGAATATCTGTGTTTTGGTGAGATGCGTGTAGAACTTTGTATAGGCACGGTCTCTGCTTTTTAAAAATCCTGGTTGTAAAAAGGAAAACACAACTAAATACCAGTTATGAGTTCCATAACAAATTAACATAAATTATTTGCTTTATCAATAAAAACAACTACTTAGCATTACTTGCATTTGGAAGATTAAAATAACAGAGCTATTGCAAAACTGCCGTTCCGTGTGCGTATATCTGTGCTCTAAACAACTTGAAACAATTTAACTGTATAAAATTGTACTTTTAAGTATTGGCAAGATTTGTACAACCAAGGGCAACTCCAACTTTTTAAAGTTAAACAGCTCCTCGACCCTGAAGTTGTAGCACTGCCAATGCTATCAGCAGTTGGTTTGCCTTATCCTCACCTTGATGATCAAACAAGGAATCAGCAGCAGTTGCTTTATTTGAAGGTGCCTGCGTGATTGGCTTGAGGAATGTTCTGTAACCCTTTAAAATAGATGCCATGAAACGGAGAAAAGCTTCCTGGATCTCCATCTCAAGTTCTATCATCTTCTTCTGCCAGGAGAAATCTGCCTCAATAGGAGTCATCTCCACTGCAGAGCCTTCTTGAGTTTTCCTGTGTACTAGCAACGAGTGACACAATACTGTATTAAAATCCAGTGCGTTCAAACAGGTAACTTTTGCAAGATGCTGAAGATGGATTTTTCTTTCTAATACTTAGAAGTGATAAACATGAGAAATCCTGCGATTTACTTTCCCGTTGATCTGGCCCATATAAAAGGCAAGTTACCTCAAGAGCTGATTGTGTGTTTTTCTAACTTATCCAGTCCTCTGGGACATGAAACAACGAGGAGGATCTCAGCTCAGTTCACGTTACAACATACCCAACTGAATGTAGTCTTTCAGTAACGTATCAACATGAACACAAAGGGACATATATTCCCTTTTCTGAAGATTGCACAACTAGAAAGAAAAGGCCTAGAACTATTTTTCTAATCAAAATTCTAACATTTTAGTGCACCAAAGGGTAGAAACAAGTAGATGATATTCAGAGTTTACTCTTGCACTCTTTTAAAAAAACAGTAGCAGGTACTGCTGAAAAGCACAGTTCCACATCTTCTATTCTAACAAAAATATAAATTATGGTAATACAAATACTTACTTGTATTTATATATAAATATTATAAGGTATCTATTATAATATTGCCAAAATAGGAAAAGTACCTATCTAAAAAACACCACTGGTTCTTCTCAAGTTAAAACTGCATGGAATGACATGCTGATAAACCAAAACGAAAATTTAAGGCTTTATAACAGATGAAGTAAAGGCTACCCACAAAATAAATCTAGCAAAATGAACACCTATCTCTTAATTAATGCACTTTTCTGTTTCCATAATTTACAAATTTTCTATATCTTGTATAACTATGAGGATATCACTGTCTCCTTGTCCATAATCATGCAACCTAACATACTCAGAACCAGCTCACCTTGAAGAGCCTATCTACAGTCAGAAAGAAACATTATTTGAAAACTGTTAATTCAGCTCTAACTTTGCTTTTACCTGTCCAACCATTAGGCTGAAGACAGACAGATTGACAGATTTATTTTTTTCTTTTCACAAAATACTTTGTCAAAATTTTTGTATTTATATTTTTGTAGAAGAGTCATTATCTCAGATATTCAGCAGTATCTGTGCAACACCTGAGCTATTCAACACTATTTTACTCATAACAACATTTCCTCTACTGTTTTTAATCAGAAATATCCACATTGGTTTAGGTCAAGATACAAACATATTTTAGCTGAATTGTTGTTCAAATACAATTTAATGATGAGTAAAGGCTTAAGGAGAGTAAAGGCTTAAATTTTAAGGAGTGACAGCAAAGAAAATAAAGTCTAAAAATAGTAATACACATCACATATGATAGACAGAAGTCCTTACATTTATATGCTAATCACAACTTAACACTCATAGGTGTGTTTCAAAAAATTTAGTAGTTTTCTTTGAATATTTACTTTCCCTGTTCTCAGAAGTTTCTATTCTTATCCCTTCTCATTTTATTTTATATATTTCACCTGCTGCCAGCTGTGGGTGCAGTTTCTTTAAGGTACTGAGCAGACTTTTGCATGGCTTCTTAGGAAACTGCTTCCAGTTGATGTTCTTCTTATCATCTGATCTAAAACACAAGAGAAAGAAAAAAGGATATCAAAAATACAGACCATATAAAAAAGCAAAATTCCACATCCTTAAGTGGCTTCATTTTCACAACTAAGTAGCTAAAGAAATAAATTATTTTGAAAAGAAAACTTGTTATTGTCCCTATTTGTCAAAAATAAAAAATAGGACTGACGTAACATATGATTTTATTTCCTCAGATACAGAACAGTATAAATTGAGCTCTGAGCAGAGTTTTCTCCAGTCTGTAAGGAGGTTCTGCATTAAGATTTGATTTAGACTTTTTACTCAAAGTTTTCCTTGGCTGATTTCCCTATCAGAAATGCTATTCACAAGACTGATAAAAATAAAGCACACTAATCTGTATGTGATTACTATGTCCGTGCTACCATAGTCCACGCTACCATAAACCTCTCATACTGCTACTGGTACAAATAAAGACAGTTTGGAATACAACATGAACTTGTTACTACAAAATGCTAGAAGACCAGTCTGGCAGCTCGATGGTGGCACGGTAGAGTGTAGCATATCTACGGCAACTCAGTCCCGGCTTCGACCACAGACTAGTGGAGACGATGAAGATCGGGAATTCAGTTCACAGTCTGAAAGTTACGTGGTTGATTAAGCAATGAGGTAAATTGTCCTAAACGGATGCTCATCTCTGTTAGAAATGACAAGGGGTACAATGCCAGACCTTGTTTAAGTGGCTGAATATAAAGAGAGAGAGTAGGAAGCAAAGCCTGAGAACTCCTGCGCCTCTTTCTGGAAGGCACGAGGTGGGGGTTCGAACTGCTATAACAGGGAGTACAACAAACACTGTGACCACAAAACCTAATCAGTTATTACTACCCGGGCTACGCTGTCATTGCTTGTTTTGCACTCTGCATCAGCAAAATGTTTGTTCAATTATTATTTGCTCAACTAACATCACCACAGAACTAACTTAAGAAGGAAGCCAAAGTTTCAGGAGTTAATGAAAAAAATGCATGCCTACAGATGCCTTTGCCCACTGCTTTCCCCGCCATAATGGCGTGGCTATAAACAATGTAAGTGACACCGTTCCAAAAATGCAAAGAAAAAAAAATCCTGCTATAAAAATAAAACAAACTCTTTGCCCTAAAAAGGCTACTTTCCTTAACTAGCATTCAATGTTACTTTCACAGACATAGTTAAAAACATCCAAAAAAAGGCATTAGGAAAGATGCTGAATGAATAAGAGGCCTTCTGTATTTTTTGGCAGTAAACAAAACTTTGCTCTATCATACGAAAGATAGCAGCAAATTTGCTTTAAAAAGACATTAGACAGACTGACGCAGTAGGAAATATTCAATTTTTCAAATGTTATTCTTCTGTGATGCAATCTTTCAAAGTTAGCAACAGCACTGTTAATTGCTTTCATATCTAACAAAAAAAAAAAAGAAAAAAAAAGCAGCATTGCCACAGAAGTAAAGAGGGGCAGAAACAGGCACGGATGAAATAAAATGGAACATTAAACTTTACTTACTAATAACACATTATTTTAGAATTCTATATGATCTTCAACACAAAGTGCTTTATGCAGATTTGGTTTTACCTGCATATCTCCAACACTGAAAAACACCCTCATTTCTAGATTAAAAAAAATTTCTAAAGCGGTACAGATGAGATACATGAAAAATGGGGAGATATATGCAAAATGGAAAAGGGAAAAAAGAAAAATATCAGACGACTATTGAAAGAGAAATTCACTTATAAGCTAGTAAAAAGAACTGGCCAAAAATCTTTCCAGTTGCGTGTCTCATAAGTGGACAGCTACTGGCGGATTTTTAGTTTCGTAACCAATCCAGGTAAGGTTGGTACTTGGTCTTTCTAGCTGTCATAACAACAGGATCTTGACATTCTTGTCTTCCTGTTAAATCCCCTGTTTCTATCTCCCTGATTTTTCTGCAACCCTCTCTTCAACTTCCATTCTACTTAAGAATGACAACATTCAGGTGTTTTTAATTGCAAATATCTTCAAATAAACAAGTTATCTCTTTCACAAAACCTATTATAATTATTCTTCTGGTGGCATAAAGCTTTGATATATGGTGATGAAAATGCTTTTGGCAGTGTTTTTTAAAGGAGACCCAGGGGAAGGAGAAAAAAACAAATCAAAAATAAACACAAGCTGTTCCATTGTTTACTACTTCCTTTGGTGCTACTAATAAAACAAAGCATTTCAGTAATGCAAAGGAAACATTCACTTCAGTAGAGGAAAGGTCTTTTTGACACAATGAAAATCAAGAAAGTGTTCAACTGACACATAGATCAAATGGTTAATTCTCACTCAATTTAGTAAAAACAAAAGTCAAGAGTTAAAAAGTGGTGTGAGATGAAGTAAAACTCCTATTTTCACAGGGAAAATGTGCAGTTAATTTAGCGGTGTTCACTCTCATCTTGAACTAGCTTTGACAACTTTTTCTATTTATGATCTAATCAATTTAGAATTGAAAGGTAATTCATAAAGTTACTAAATTAAACACCTGAAACAACTGAATTTTCAATTCAGTTATTTGTACTCTCATTTAGATATATTACAGAAAACCAGAACAGTACTCTGAATTAGCCTCTCCGCAAGAGGGTGCAAAGAATCCTTCAATTTAAGAAAGCATTAAAAGTACAATAATTAAGTGAAAGTATTTTAGATTTAATGTAGTCAAGATATCAATTTTGCTTGACTGATCTCACCAAAAATGGCCCATATAGTCTTTACTAACACTAACACAAAGTGTTCAAGTCCAAGACAGCATCAAAAGCAGTCATGAAGAGTCCTAAAGTGCTCACACCAATAGTCATACCAATTGTTCATACCAACAGTCACTGACCATGGGCAAACCAAATTCAAATGTGGTACATCAGGATGAAAATTTAAGAAATGGTGGAGCAGAAAAAAGAATAAAAATCAACATAGCTCTTCTTCTTATCCAGCTTTTGTTTCACCTCCCTAAAAAGAAGTACTAGAAGTGGAATAAAAAAACAGAACACATTACCATTGTTACTAAACTTTTATCAACATATGCATCACATTTTTACAGGCATGACCAGGTGTTGAGGACTTAGTGAGATTTAATTTGCTATGAAGTACTAGAAATAAGACAAAGCATGGAGGACAGTAAGCAACAAACCACATTGGATAACACAGTGTTAATAGTTTTATCTCTTGAGCATTTCAGCAATCTCTCCATCTACAGATAAATGTAAAAACTCCACAGAACTTACATGTACACCATGTTTGTGTCTAAGTCAATGCACACAATATCCTGTGGTGGATCGTACAGATCAAAGTATCGTGAATCAACTCCAACAATAAATGGAAGAGGTGCACTGAGTACGGTGGCCAGAGACAAAGGACAGAGGGGGATATATGGACATTGCCACTGAAATGGAAATATCATCTGAAGGAAAAATTAAATGAAATCAATGTGTTAAAACAAGACAACAGATACTGTACCATAAAAACACAGAATCACAGAATGTCAGGGGTTGGGAGGGACCCCAGATGATCATCTAGTCCAACCCCCCTGCCAGAGCAGGATCACCTACAGTAGGTCACACAGGAATGTGTCCAGGCAGGTTTGGAATGTCTCCAGAGAAGGAGACTCCATCACCTCTCTGGGCAGCACAGTAACCAAGAAGTTACATGCAGCAAGTTGAAATGAAATTGCTAAAAGCCTTGTTACACTGTCAGAAAAGAGTCTTCAAGGTTGACCACTTATATACAGCAGAGCTCTTAGCTATCTATGCAAAAAACGCTGATATAATAGTTATAATACACACTAGGGCACTTAAACTAAATGCTGTTGCTTGGAAAAACGATCATTTAGTGCATCAATAATTTCAATATAAAAAATAAGCCTTGGAACAACTGTGAAGTTTGAACCGATTTCTCTCAATGCTGTACAGAATACTTTGTACTTACAGCTACTACAGCTTCAGCAACTCCTGTCAACACAGCTGGTCTAAGAGAATGGAGGAGGATCTTGCCTTCTAGTAATACAAAGAGTAACAGAGTGGCACAGTTTTCCGGTCCAAGATTCATGAGTAGAGTGCTAAAGTTTGCTCCACTACAGGGTGGGTGAAAAATGGGAAGAGAATAAGAATGTTACAGTGTTTAAGAAAGAAAGTCAGTCACTACTATCAAACTATTGATAAGGTTTCGGGACCAACTAGTTGAATAACACATCAAATAACGACCTATCTAATAGCTATCTCCTCAATATGAGACCTGTAGTGCCACAAAGAAACCTAAATTCAAATTCTATTGCTAAACATGCTAGACCATGTTACTGCTGCGCTTGTGTTATGGCACTCTTCCTCATGTATGCACAGGTATCTTGTCTTTCTGAATCAGATCTTACTAGTTAACAAGCCAAGTGCACAAGTAACACCAGTAGTTTCATATCACGGGTTACCTCAGGCAAAAATTACGAGCTAGAGTAGCCATTTGATATTAGAATCACAGTATCAAATCCTAATACTAGTCAAGTAAAATCAGGCCATCATTCTGTCAGCAATATGGCTTTATTTTCTACAGTTTAGACTTCACGTATTTTGTCTGGACTGTGCACATTTAGGAATTGTAATTACATCCGTAAGAGCATAAGGGTGTAAAATCTGTCCTTAGAAAAATACCTATATGTTACTTTGCACCTTGGTGGCTGGCTGCAATTTTTTATTTAAGAGGCTGTGTAATAGTTGTGATTAAGCAGGTCATTCTTCTTCATATAGAATATTATATGAAAATGTCTAAGGGGAGGAAAAAAATTTCAAAGGGACAATACTTTAGGTTTTAACTTAAAAACAAACAAAAAAAATCAACTAAAAACATGCAAACAAAACCCCATGTCACAATCATAGGCAGCTCCAGCCTGGAAGATGCAGGCAGTATCCAAGACACTGCATAAACCTTCAAGCACAAACACCAGTTTTTCAGTATAATTTTGAATTTCAGAAATTCTGGCACACTTGTGCTTTGCCTTATTTCCCATACCTGATTGATGTAAATATCTCCCTTCAATTAAAAAAAAAAAGGAAAATAAAAAGCAAGATAACAAACAGTTTAACTATGCCATTTGAAAAAAAAAAAAAGTGTTTACTAACACAAGCTCAGAAAATACAAGATAAATAGATACATGTATTTTTTTCCTCACCAGCCTTCTTTCTTCAGAGGTCCTATTTTAATCTGGCAATTATACTAGTGATATTATCCTTACACATGGGACAGATCTATGTTGAAAAGACAACATTATGTAACACTATAAATGTGTTTTGAGATTTCTAAGACCTCATAATATTGCACTAATGTTTGGCTTCCTTCTATGATTTCTTCCTATTTGCCTCTGATTTTTTTTTAGCAGCATACATTTAAAGCATTAATAATGATACCTTAATGGCAATGGTGTAGAAACTGGCTGAGACAATATTAATGCATCATGGGCAGAAAGCTGAAACACATAAAGTAGCATAGATTGATAAGGACAACTCCAAAGTTACTAAAGTATAATACTCCAATATAAAAGTACACCCATAGTCTCATAAACTGCCTGGCAGAGTCACATGTCACACAAGAGATGAAAATCAGAGACTGTCTTTAGGACTCGTGTTTACTAGGTCAACAGAGCTTGTATTAGTCACTGAAACAATTCTCAGAAGTTACAGGAAATTGTCTGTGACTCAGTGTTGAACGTGTAACTGCTGCTAGGCAATAACAGAGAAACACAAGAGACAGAGCCCTGGGGAACTAGCCTTTGACCCACAGTAGTGGGTGTACAAGTAAAACACACCCTTCCCCGCAAGAGGTAATGTAAATGGTGCCCATAAAATGAAAAGTAATACATGGCAGATGTTTCAAATTGCAAGCAGGATGCTGCTGCCATCCACACTGCTTGAGGTCTGCTAAGTTACCCCAGGCTTTTACCAGTGAAAGAGAAGGCTAACCCATCCATCTCCTCCCCTCTCCCTTCCCGCACATGGGTATTCGAAGCTGAGTAAAAAACTTAAAGGAAGAAAGTAAGGTTTCAAAGGCAAGAAAGAGGGTTTGTCATTATTGTAACTAAAAACAGAAGCAAATGTTTTGCTTACCTGCACCAAAATTCTTGGCCTTTGTGGTGAAGGGAAAGGTATATTGTGCATAAAATGGGATATGTGCCTGAAAAGAAGACAAGATGTCAGGAAACCAGCACCAGGGACTAATCAGGGACTGCAAACAATGTTAATCACATTTCAGAATTACTATGGTACCATGTTTTAGAAAGGCTATTAAGATTTATTTGCTGCTTTGCTAACTTTAAGAGCCCATTTATGCAAACTGAAACAAAGAAGCTCCATTCACTCACATTTCATGCGTGAAAATTAATACTGGCAGCTTCAGATATGTATGCAAAAGATAAGAACACACTGGCATTTAGGCAAGCCATTTAAAACCCCAGGCAGTCTAACCCCACTCCACAGAGTTTCTAATGGGGCTTATCTAAGAGAAACTGTATTTCACTGCCCAATGGCTAACACAGTTTTGAAGGTATTATCATACTTCAGCAAACTTTTAGGACCATAAAAAGCATCCTCTACTGAGTTTAAACACACACACAATCTGCATTAGTTGCAGTGCCTGGAAACAGACATAGATATTAATTGCTAATGCACAGAGTCCCTGAACTTATATTTATTAACTAAAACGCAGGATTAGCAAACGTTAGCATGTATTGTATAGCTTAGCCATTTTCTGTGCTTGATGTAGCTAAGAGAAAGGGAAACAGGCTTAACATATTCTAACAAAAAAGCCACAGTCAAATGCAGTTCACTTTTTTGGCAATGCAAGAGCCACTACTATTAAACAGAAGCAGCAGTAATTTCTGTAAGTACAATGTAAGCCACACAGTGCAAGGACAATGATGGAGCAAATACACCAGCCAAGTAAGTGTGGCATGTATAAATCACATGACTTCTTGAGCTGATATAACTACCTTCCCACATTTCTTTTACATACTTTTCAATGGGAAGAGGATGAGGTCCAGACACAGAGAGCTTGTAGATGAACATAAGAAATTTTCGAAACGCTTCAAAAAAAGGCCAGTGTGAGAGAAGGCAGATGCATTTGTTGGAATTGATGGACTTGGAAGTAACTACTTTCCTTTCCACGGCCGTCAGAAGACCCAGCTGCAATTGTTGTTTTTCTGTTAGCAGCTCCCGGGGATAAGGCTCATAAAACTGAATAGCAGCACCATAAACCTAAAACATGCAGAAAAACAGCTGAGTAGACCCAGTATTTCACAGATGATTGGGTTAGAACTTCAGAAGCAACCTTCAGTCTTCGGTGTTTGCACACATACTATAGTGCTTTTGCTGGTAGCTTGTAAAATGACTTTTCATTTGCACAATATACACAAAGTATCCTTATAAAAGAAATGCTTTGGACTCTCGTGGATCTCTTTTCCTCTCAGTAAAGTGAAAGGGAAGGAACCAAATTGCATGTGAAAAAACCCTATGGTTAAAAAAGCCCAAACTCTCATGAAATGCTTGTGTTTAGTAAATTCCCCTATCATTGCCACACTAAACAATAAAATTATTTTAGCTTTGACTTTACTCATTCCATCAAGCTAAACAGCTACTTACCTTTTCTAATATTCCTTCACTATTTGTCAGTTTCATTATTAACTGAATTATTCTGGCAAGTTTAGAAAAGAGAGAAGAGGAAAGGATTGATACCACAGCATACATTCTGAGAAAAATATTGGCAGCTACTGCATTTATCCTTGCAAAAAAAAGTATTAGAACATTGGATAAATACTTTTTTTGTTGTTTGGAAATGGAGAAGTATATAAATTTCCCTGAAAGGGGACCGACACAGAGTGTAAGTTGAGCTCTTACTACTAATAGAGCCAAACCGCTGTTTATTAGTCACAGAGAGCTAATCATACATTACAATCACTTATTCCCTCATGCAGTTCACACACACTCGGGTGACAAGCTGAACCAACAGCTGAGACATCAACCTCAACTCCCTTGTTTCAGCATGTATACCTATAATCTTGTAGTCTCTGTGTCTGTACAGCAGACACTGCCTTCTCACATGTGGGGAGAGTCATGCAACACTTTTCTGGTGCTCATGTGTGCTGGTGCCCTTATAAAGATTTGGCAGATGGCCGGTGTTCTGAATTTATCACTTCACGTGAATTCAGCAGGCTCAC